CCCCCAAAACCCCCCCCCCCCCCCCCCAAGCTTCAATCCCTCCGGAATGCATCTTGTGCGATGGACTGCTCACGAGTATGCCTTGACTCATGACTCGGAAAATGCGGCCGCGTCTCAGCGCTCCATTGTAGAGTAGGGGATTGGGAATGAGGCTACGGGACTCGTGAGCTGGTCCGCATCCGCGACCGGTACCGGAAGCAGGTTGGCGCTAGGCCTGGACTCGCGCTCCATCGCCCAAGACCGACAGCGCGAGAACGCAGAGTGACGTCCTCCGCTCCAGCCCCCTGCAGCCCGCCCGAATAAATCGGTGTCTTCATTCCGCGGGGCGAGGCTGTGGCGGAACTACATAGGTCAATAGCTCGCGGCACCCCAGCCCGGGCGTATATATTGTACCATCGCGCTGCTCCATCGGGCAACAATTCCTCGCTATCACTTCGGCTTACCGCGATACCACTCACGACCCTTTGCACACGACCACTCTTATACGAAATCATACGACCCTTGCCATGACTCGCACTTGGGACTACGCTCCGATTGCGCATGCTTCGCGTCCACCTCCCACTACTGCCCATCGCACTTCGTCAAGTTTGGCCAGCGACCCAATAGGCTCCCCAGACCGGACTGCGGCACCATTCCCTCGCTCGGGCTCGCCCGAGGACGACGCTCATGACAAAAGCGTCAACCTGGCACAGAGTGCCCAGGATAGCATACGCACGAGCACACATACCGTTCGCAGGAAGAAGAGCTCCTTCGACCTGCACGACATCTTCTTAAACGGTGGCGTTTGCCAGTCGAAGCCGGCGCCAGCGCAGCGTTCTCCTACTGCCTAGTTCTTTTTCAACGATTACCTTGCTCGTGAGTATCCGCCACCATACCATTCAGTCCGCCGAATTAATCGCCGTTCACTGCTTAGGATCACGATATTTACGATCTCTGCGTCGACGACCCTTACGACCGCTCCAACGACCTGCTCGGGGCATCTGCTGCGCCTTCCTGCGAGCTGAAAAGGACTCTTCATTGTATCACTTGTTGTATTGTTAGATGTATTTGGTTCCGAAGACGGAAAACGGGGTCTGATGATCTGTTGGGCACATTGTGTATCAGGATACGACATTGTTGTATATCAACTCGAGCGTTTTGTCTTCTGGTTCAAACACCCACAGCAAGCATCTCGAGTGCCTCATCGCACAACCAGATCTAATCCCTGAAAAGTGGCAGAAAAGTCTGAGACGACATAGGATCAGCTCTGCATTCTACCAATATACGCGACGCGAAATGCAACCATACCTTCGTCCCCCCACCATTCTGCGTCGGCGCCATCTCAAAGTCTTCATCGTCCACAAGCTCGAAGCTGTCCGTCCCCCCCTGCCCCTCCTCCCCCGTCAAGAAGTGCTCGCGGTCCTCCATCCGCCAGTCCTCGTTCAAGTACTCCTGGTCGTGCCCTCCGCTCCCCCCGCCCGCGTCTGCGTCTCCCCCAAACTCGTCCAAGTCCACGTCGTCGTCGAGCATCATCGCGAGCTCCTCCGCCGTCATGTGCTCGATGCCCAGCCCGGACTCGATGATCGCCGCCTGCGACGCGGGCGGCAGGTGCGAGATCTGCGAGCTCGGCAGGAAGAGCGGCTCCTTCTCCCTTTCCTTCTGTCGCGCCCCGCCCCCAGAGGGCCGAGGCCGCTGCGAGCGCTGCGATGGCCCGAACTCATACCCGTACTCTTCCTCATAGTCCTCGTACGCCTGCTCGCCGCCCTGGCCTTCGCCCTGCCCGTCCTGGGATCGTTGCTGCTGCTGCGCGGCGGTCAAGACCGCCCACGACGGCTGCGGCTCCGCCGTGGGGAGCGGGGGCGGGTGCATCTCCCGCGCCATCGACTGCCTGTCCGTCTTGCGCACGACCTTCGTCGGCTTCGCCGGCACCCGCGGCCGCTCCCGCAGCGCGCCCTCCGCGATGCGCACGTTCCGCTGCTGCGGTTGGTTGTGGTTGCGGTCCTCTTCGAGGGGGCGCTTGCGCGGGTTGCGGGGCGTGGGGTCCGCTTGGGAGGCCTGCTGGGAGCGCGAGACGATCTGGCTGGTGGCGATCACGAAGAGCGTGTCGGCGTAGTCGGCGTCGACGGAGATGTAGAGCGGCTCGAGGGGGTCGGTGAAGCGGAGGTTGAGGGACACTTCGGAGGCTTCTGCGAACGCGATCGTCGCCTGGTGGATTTGGGAGAGAGTTCAGCTTGCGAACGCTGAGAGACGAGACGCGGAGGCGCATACATTGAATTCGCGGAGGTGGAAGGCGATAGTCACCGGCCCCACTGCCAAGTCGTACGTGTCGAATTCGGTCGCACCGAGCGTGAGTTCCGTGACGAGCTGTGGGCGACCTGAACAGTAGCGCTCTGATATCGATGACAGCTCTCGTATGCGCGAAAAAAATGCTTGGTACCTTTGCCGTCCACGCCGGTTTCTAGGCTTCGTAAGACAACCTCGTCGTCGTGAAAGTTCCAAATTAGCTGGGGGTCTGTCTTGTTCCCCTTGCCAAACGGGAAGTGCTCAAGGATGTTCTTCATAGTTTTTGGGCCTACGGTGAGCGACGTCTCCAGTGTCGGGTCTGGCATGGCGGGGGATAGATGGTCGTTCATGGGGTTTAGGGAAAGGCGATGCGTCTTCACCACACCTGAAACGTACAACAAGAGTTAGTACGCGCATACATGGTCACGAAAGGGCGACAAGGGTTAGAATGCAAGGGATGGTGCAAGGACAGGTGTGTGTACGGGCTGGAATTCACCATGCTTGCAATGCAAACGTACAGTCAACCTGCTCTCCAGCGAGTCACGATCCTCGTCTTCGTCTTCAAGGGCAATGGTTTGTGTAGGGCCGTCGGTGATCACGAACTCGCACTTCTCGCATGCCTTCTCGTTGTTCTTGTGCTTGAATATTGACAGGAGATGCTATATGCGTGTCAGGATGTGTCCCCTCCACTCTAGGAAGCACCACGCGCGCGCGCACACACCTTGATAACGATCTGACCAGAAACGATCGGGAGCTCCTCGATATCTTCACCCACTGGACGCGCCTCGACGCGATATCTACTAAAGAACGATCTCGGATACTTGAAGCGACCGTATGCAGTCATAGCAGTGTTGGTTGAGGACAGCGCGATAGTCTCGGAGGTCGCGACGATGGCCAAGTCGTCGCCGAACTTGGAGAGACATGTGAGAGCCCTGGTCAGGTCTGATGAGCATGAGTGGCGGGCGGTCCAAAGATGGGTGGGATGACAGTACGCTTGAGCCCTGTAGAATCCAGTGTCGCCTGCATCTCGTCACCGTGTAGGCGGATAAATGTTGTCGCAGGTCGTGGCCTCAGGATCGCACAAGCCACCGCGGTACAAGTCAGACGCGCTCTCGCGGGTCGCGTCGCTCGCGGCGGCACGGGACACACTGAACATGCGTGCGCTAAGACATATACAGTACACTTGACAATGGCAAATACTACATCTGTTCGGGGTTCCATAGAGCATGTCTATGCATGAACGTCGAGCGTCAGTCTATCAGACGTTTACATGTTGAGGTGGTCTAGGACATCAGGGGCATTGACATTCTCCAAAGCCTTCGATTCTACTCGATCCCACCGTCACGTCGACTATCTAGCATGTAGCGTGAGGGTCGGGGTATAGTAGAGCGCAGATATATTGTTATCATTGAATCGCTGAAGCGGCAGGAAATGTTTAGCATCAGCTCCAAAACAGACGTGTGGTTTTATGGCACGTACCGTTAGCCATCACCAACCCGTCGTGATTAGGACCACCCGTCATCCCAGTCAAGCCCATAGTCTTCGTCGTATTCCGGGTCATCGTAGTCTTCTTCTTCTGTGTCGTCGTAGTCGTCGTCTTCGTCTTCGTCATCTTCAGACTCTTCCATTATCACGACCCCATCCCATACGACTTGCGGGACGATCTCCCGCAGTCTGGCGACATCCTCGACGGTGATATTCCGGCAGTCCGTCAATTGCACCTCCTGCACAGGGATGCCGTAGTTGCATCTGAGGATCAAGCAATCGATGAGCCCGTCGAAAAATCGCTCCTCTACCATGTATTCCGAGAGGTTTGCTAGGCGAGTATCCGAGAAACTCAAGACTTCGAGGTGTGGCAGCACGACCGATGGGGCGCGACTCTTCTCCGCGGGATGTACAGCAGAGAGGGCGTCGAGCAAAGACTTCTCGACGCCGTAGAGGACGCCAAGGACGCGTAAACCAGGCATCCCAGAGATGATGTCTCGCCATACCCAGCTCTGATCAAAGTCCGTCTCCACCTGCAAGTACCGAACGCTGCGCCATAACGACGAATCTGAGAAGAGCCTCTGTGTGCCCTCGGATAAAGTTGGAGAAGATAATTCGAGGCGCAAAGGAATTCCCAAGTCGAAGTCGGACAGGTATCTGTCTGAGTCTGATTTGGTGAAGTTGATGTCCTTGCGCCAAGCGTAGAGAGCTAGCTTTGGGCCGTACGCCTGAGCGAGGCGTACCGTTCTGAGCGGTTTCATCTGGGTGAGCTGCGATTTCAGCGTATCGACGAGGTCCTGCACCACGGCTTGACCGGGACTGGTGACGATATCCAACTCAGGATCGATTGCTGGAGAAAGATGGCGAAGGAGGTTCGCAGAGTCGACTGCGAACCCTTTGAGGCGAATGTGACGCAAGCTTGGGAGCGCGACAGTACGAGAGGGCGCAGGTAGAGACGTCGTGTGGCTGGGAGCGGGTGGAATCGCATCATCAAGTCTGAGGTTCTCTAGGTATGTCATCTGTTCCAGTGCAGACAGTAGCTGTTCGAAATCGCCGCCATGACTGCCTCGGATAACGACCAAGCTAGTGAGTGTCTTGCTGAAGATGGGATGGTCCCAATTGATTGTGATTTGGCGAATCTCGAGAATTCGAAGGCGAGGTACTTGGCCACAAAAGAGGTCGTCTTGTAAAAGTGAAGGGCCAGACGGCGACGAATACTCCGTGTCCGGAATCACAAGTCTTAGCGTGTGTAGGAGATGAGCCGGCTGCGTCAGATTTGCGCATATGTCATGAACGATCCGAACAGGTCCACTGAATCGTAGCTCGCGCAGGCGATACAACTCTGGCGGTAGTAACTCCCCGAGTACTTTGCAGCTTTCATAGAACGAGAGGTTGTCGATGCAGATAGAGAGAGGGGCCTGCTTCGACCGCGCAAGGAACGCTTCGAGAACGTCTCGTCTGGTGACCGAGATGAAGCTCCACAAGCGAGGGGTAGTGAGGGCAACTTCCCTCCAAGCATGGCAGACCTGAGAAGTCCTGATCCACTGAAGGCTGGTGCCATATATTGCGGAGATGTAGGCGCCTCGCGCCATCTCGGGGCGGCTGTGGGGGTCTCGCGCAAGGCACACGAAGATCTCTGCCAACAACTCGCTTGGGAGGCGGGAGATTGCGACCTTTGCGTTGAGAAGGCGCTTTAGCGTTATGATAGCCTTGAAGTGCTGCTCGATTTCGTCTTCAATCTCCGAGCGCGGTGTGTCGGTGTCCGACTGGATGACCCTGGTTGACTCGCATCTCGTCAATGACAGCTGCGAAATGCTACATGTTTGTGGCTAGGTGGCTCACGGCGTGATATTGTTGACATACAGCGCAGACATTGGGATATGAATGCTAGAGGCAAGGGGATCCATCGTCAGTCAAAAACATTTTGGACTGCGGTAACTAGTACCCACTTGCCTGTAGCTTCGAGGGCGGCGATTGGTAGAGAGCACTGCTTATGACACTAAAAGCACACTGTCAGCAAGCTCATACCTTTGCCATAAATTTTATCACCAACCTAACGGGCGTAGTGGGGTTACGGATGAGCAAGCACTTAAGTACTGGAGTCTGAGACGGATGCTACGGGGAGATCTAGATTGCAGTCACATGCGGTGGCTGGAGGCAAGGTGTTGGCGCCCAGAGATGTGCTTGACCCCAGGACCCCGAAAGTCGGCAGCGGTGACTTCTTCTAAGGGCTGAGGCTTTCTCTCTATTTCAGCTTCCAGAGTTCTGGCTTTAGTGGATTCTACGATGCCTGATGTTATGACATGCAATCGGTACGGAAACCATAGACTCTCTCACGCTTGACCCCCGGTGTCATCAGTCCCTCGCCCATCTCTGTTGGCGCCCATGGCGACGCGACGTGCCATGGGCGCCTCTTCACGGAACGCGTTCTATTGCCGTAGACGCCTTAGGATCCCTTGGGCTTGTCTTCCATCCACGCCCAGGTTCTCCGTTGACCACCTCGATCGCCTCCCTACACCGGTTTCCACTCGGTGAGTTGTACTCTGACTTGAAAGTCTTCTGTAACTAAGATACCTCAGTACATGTCCGAAAGCCTGAAAGAGACCCTAGATGCCATCAGAAGCAACAAAGTCGCAGACCGGCAGAAAGGCTACAATGCCCTCCGCGTGGCTTTTGACAGAGACTCGGCTGTTCTTCACTTCGATCGAGCAGGCAATGGGAAGCCTTGGCTTGCAGTGTTTCAGGCCCTCTTCGAGGCCTTCACCAACGAGTGCAAGGCGTGCGAACGGAACAAAGCGTTCGCGGACAGCACCGGTCGAGGTTCCACATACATTCGACGACTAGGTGATGTAGCATCCCTTGTTCGTTGGTTGACGGAGCGCAGCCTCACGAGGCTCAACTCCTTCGTTCTCAAGCCACTCCTTCTCCATCTCACTGGTGCAATCGTGGACCGTTCTGCTGGACAACTGCTCGCGCCGGTTGCCCTACCGTATGCGAAGGCGATCAAATCTATCATCACGTACAAACCTCACCTCTACAGTCTTAAGGACAAGACATGGCACGAATTGCTTGCTCTCGCGTTCAATGTCGTTGTTGGCGCTGCACCCAAGCGTAGATTGTTGGAGCACCTCGTTTCTAACGATAGCGATGGAATGGATGTTGATTCGGGCGAGGAAGTTATCGTGGAGGGTGAGGGAGCCCAATCTTCTGCGGGGAGCGTCGCAGGTCCGTCGACACCCCGGACGAAGCGTTCCCGCGAGGACAGTCTACCGTCCCGCTCCGCTCCACGCGCTACAGCTCCCAGAAGCTCCCAACCTGTGTCCCTCGAGCAAATCGAATTCATGTCTGTCATTGCCATCCTACTCCGCTCTTCGACCGTTTCCATCCTCGACGAAGTGGCAGAAAGCGATAGCGACCGCGAAACGTTGTTGCAGAGGAAGGAGCAGGACCCCCACGTGTTTCCGCGTCGCCTTCTGAACTACTTTTCACGTTTCCTACGCATTCACACTGGTGACACCTCGCTTCATCCCGACTATCTCATCGCTCTTTCGGCTGCTCTGTCTCATCTGACGCTGAACTGCCGACAAGCCGTCAGCCGCTTCGCCAACGAGAGTTGGGATGCACTAGTGAACATGTGGGGGACGAAGAATCAACGCATGAAGGAGGACCTCGTCGTCGTATTCCGCTTGCTATTCCCTCTGTTAACGGCGGAACCTCTGGAGGATGAGGCAAGCACGGACCCTACTGGGGCTTTGGCATCTCTCTGGACAGCGCTTGATAGTCAAGTGCACAGCCGCTGGGGTGTCCACAACCTCTCCATCGAATCTTTGCAGCTTCATCTGATGGATGAGCACGGCTGGGAGAGTAGCAAGCGGGCATTTGTCGCGGAGACCTTCCGCTATGGTTGGCACTTTGATCCCGAGCAGGCACTGTCTTGGGCCACGCTTGAGCTTCAGGCGGACTGTGCAGAGCAGGTAGGTAGGCCTTGACCGGATCCAGTAGATACTTGAGCTTAAATCGTTTGCAATAGCTCTACCTACGATCAGAATCAACTTACGTGAAAGTCGTCTCATCTAGGAAGCGTGTCAAGGTCGAGAACCCTGTGTTATCCTTGCTACAGTCCATCAGGTTGCAGGCTACCCAACAAGTCCGAACGCATCACCTCCAGGTCATCCTTTTCTTTGTAGACCGACACTGGCATGTTCTGCATGGTCAATTACAGCACGATATCGTCAGCACCTTAGTCGCGTTCGTCTCGTTCGAGGACGCGGTCATACAATCTTGGACTTTTCTCTGCCTCGCCGCTATCGCGCATGCAGAATGCGCCTCAGCGCCGCAGTATGCTGTTGGCTCCCTCTCGTCCAAGGCACCTGCGATCTGGGATTCCGTCTGGACGCATGCCATGCGCCGCGCAAATGTGCCCGCTGTCTCGCGAAGCGCGTGCCACACCGCCCACGTTCTCCTGACGTACTCCAAGCGCCTGCTTTCGTCCCACCGAGTCTTGATCGAGATCGAGTCTTTCGCCAAGGATCTGGATGTGCAAGGCCCAGCCTACCCTTTCGACTCCGTATGCGACTTCATGGTTCTATGCCTTCGCATTGCCAACCAGGACGTCCGGCTGTACCGCATGCAGATGGAAGAGAAGGTCCTTTCGTGGCTCACTGAGTCGTGGAGAATTGGTAGTGAACGGCGTACGTCCATGCCTCTGCACACCACCGCCCATATCCACGCTCTGCTCGAGGGCATCACCGGCTCGTCGAAGCGGGTACGGCTGCAGTGCGAGATGATGCTCCCCCACTGCGCCATCGTCGACGCCGTAGCTGAGGAGGCGCAGACGAAGGTCATCCGCGACTTCCAGCTGCAAGCGCGTCTTCCTCCATATCGCAGGCGCCATTCCCGTAATACGGAGTCCCTGTCGTTGATTTCTAGCACAGAGGACGATGCTGCGGACAAGACGACTTCGCCCTTCGGTGATAGCACCGATCTGACCCCTCCACGAGGTCGAGAACGGAGGATCTCCGCATTTCTGCTGAAGTCTCTAGAGGAACTTGCCACTACGGTGGGGCCGAACGGCACGAGCAATGGTTTCCCTACCGCAGAGAGGGTCCGCTCGTCTCTGGACCTGGCCGTGACGGCTCTATGTTTCGAAGCATCACTCCTAATGAATGGAACACAGTCCAACAGGCGGATTCTGCAGGCTGCTTGCAAGCTGCTTGGCTCTGTCGTCCCGCTGTTGACCGACTCGAAATGGAAGGCAGAGGAGAGAAGGCTTATCCTGCACGCGCTCGACCCACTGACGCGGGCGGACAACGACGCCGAAGACGCGGAATGGGTAACACTTGTGCCGCCCGGGGAGCGAACTGGGATCAGAACGCAGGTTCTCAGAAAGCTCCTGTCAACCGCGACCACGAGCGAATCCATTACTGCTCATCAGCGCGATCTGCAGCGATTTGTCTTCCGGAGCGCTGATGTGAGTGAATCGCCGTTTCTCATAGCTTTCGTTTGCTAAGCAGTAGATCCTATAGGTTCAAGATGCCTTTGTAGGGGTGTTGACTATACTTCGGAATCTGGTGCGCATATCGCTAGGCCAAGACCTGGCCGCCAATTCGCAGAGCATGGCTATCGTAGACGATTCTGATGGGTTTGGACCTGTCCGCGATGCACATGCCGTCACATCTCTATCAACTACACGTTATGCCCAGCAAGACCAAGTTCACAATCGCCACATAGTCGACGCTTGCGTGACAGCTCTAGCTGTGGTACCTATCTTGCAGTCATCCTCTGGAGAACCCACCCGCGATCGAGCTCTGACAGACCTCGTCCTGCAGGCTCCTGTTGACCAGTTCTTGGTCCTAGGGCCAGCGTACTGCGAGCAAGTCGGCCGGAGGACGCTCAACCTCAGCACTTCAATCTTGGAAGGTCTTTTCACGCAACTGGAGCTTGCTTGCGGGCCGTACGCCTACAGTCACAGCGAAGAAACCCACCTATTAATCGTGAAGGTTCTAGATAAGACATCTCACGTTTGGATGGAGCCTACGATCGCGGCCAGCGCGGTTGGACAGCGTGCGCGGCTCTGTTGCTGGAATTTGGTCGACACACTGCAGTTGAAGAGAGTCAGAGGAACATTACGAAGATGTTCAAATCGACGTTCCTGGCGGGTTATCGACGCCATCATTCGGTTCCTCGATGGATACCTCGCTAAGGATCCAAGCCAGGAGATTTGGGTGATGCCTACTGACGAGAGCGGAACCCCCGACGAATCCGAGCTGCCAGCTGCGGTGCTGCCTGCCTTGGGAAACGACGACGACATCAGGATTCGCTTTCGTATCGCTGCAACAAGTCCTCGCTTGTTGACTGTTGGACGGCTTGCTAAGCGCGATTTGATGTACGAAGTCTATCATGAGATCCATAAGAATCTATCCACGCAGCAGGAGAAGTGCGCTGCATCGTTCCTTGCTGTTATGTCCATGTCGCTAACGCATGTCGTACAGCTACGAAAGCATACTTACTCGCCTTCTGTGCTTGAGCAATGTGGTCATATCCGACGCTTCAGTTCGGCGGGGCGCATACTGGCACTTGCTGGAGGTCGCCTTCTACTCTACGGTCTATCTTCGCCACCTGAAAGCAGTGCTCAACGGGATCGTAGAGCGGATGGGTATCGAGACGCTTTCCGACTTGTTCAACTGCTATGCCTCGCAGTTCGCATATTCCATCCGCCGCGCTCGCATCGATCTCTTCAAGTTCCCTTCCGACCTTCTTGGATACCGCGATCGTAGGGAGTGTGCTGAGGCCACTTTCCACTCATTCACACCGACGAACCTATTGGATGAGGGAGACGCGGAGGAGGTTGAATATGGCAAGGAGCTCTTCGTGCGACATTGTCAAGCTGTGCAGAAAAGCGAGAAGGCGGGCTTAGATGAATGCTTTCCCGAGCTGGTTGCTTACGAGATTGTCTACTGGCTGAACCATACACCGGATCTGCAGGTGGAAGCACAACTCGAGGACAGGCTGCGCACCAAGACGGGTTACAATAAGACCAATTCCTCGTTCAAAGATCGACTTCAGCTAGAGGCGGATGGGATCGTGGTAGCGATCTTGAGGAGCTTCGGCGACCAGGACATCTCTCTCAATGGCCCTATCCTAGACGCGTTACAGACTGCCGTAGACCAGCACGCACTTGGGGCATTCAAATCAATCACTCAATATCGCGGCCTCGATATCGTAGAAGCTCACAAACCTAACCTGCCATTCTACCCTACCCCTGTCATTCTCCACGCCTTGGAATGGCTCCGTACCCGCGTGAAGGAGGTGGACTCTCCTGCCTTAACCTATCACGTCCTCCACGAGCTCTTTGCCGACATTGAGGCTTCTCCCTTGGTCAACGAGCAGCTGCGTTTGCTCAACGCTGTTTCCCTCTGGGTCGCTTGTCATCACGCTCACTTCCAGGAAGAGAGTCTCCTCCGTAATCTCACCTTGAGAGCTGTAACGATGCTCGCGCAGGTCGATCTCGCGCGTGGTGCACAATCGCTGCTAGAATGGTGCTTCGCTAATTACAGGACGTCCTCTGTCAAAGCAGACTATCGTCTAGCGGACGTCCTTATCCGCACCAGTACCATCGCCCAGGACTTCTCGCAGACGTCAGGCGATGCAGCCGTGGCCAACCTGGGTGCAGACCTCCTCGCTTGGGTTGAAAAGCAGGCGGATACCTTGAGGAGCCGAAAGTCGCTGAAGAAGCAAGTCGTTCGGGCACTTGCTGCATGGCCGCGCGACCTACCCGAAGCATTGCGGGCAGCATGTGAAGAAGTACAGTTCTCTGACCTAACGTCTGTCCTCGTTGACTATGGCGTCTCGTCAAGCAAGTTCCGGCTCGTTCGACGGATTCACGACCTAGCAGCACAGCACGAGCTGGATGAACACTTCAGTAGATCTGACTTTTGGAGGCTCAAGGGGTGCATTCCACCGGAGAGATACCTGGTAGAAAGCGACATCGGCGCCTTCACTTCTCTCCTCATGCTTCATCATGGACAAGTGGACAGCATCGGCAGCGAGCAGTTCGAGCCGGAGTCTGTTAGAGTCCTGCATGCTCGGGCTGCGGCGACCACAGTTCCAGCCCGCAAGGACTTTCCTCCTCGCGTAGACGTACATCTGGCACGTTCCAGCATCGTCGTATCCTTACGTGCCATGCTAGACGTTTCTACCGCAGCTCAGGTCCATGTCGCCTATCAGACTCTGCGCGCGCTCATGTCTGTCCCGTCCTCGGAGTCCTACACGGGCCCTTCGTGCTCAGGAGATGTTCGGCGCGAATTGGAGTACCTACAAACTTTTGCAAAACCATTCCGGAAAGTGGATGCTCCCGATTTGCACCATGTCTTGAGAAGCGAGGAGATGCTGCAGCTAGTGGTGGACTTCGATTCCTGGATCGCACGTCTCACAACCATTCTTTGCGATGTGCTTGGCGCTCGCGATCCGTTCTTCTCGACCTTGGCCCCAGTTCTGCAATCCAATCGCGGCTTCGCTGAAGAGGTGCTCCCAGTGGTGGTCCATTGTCTTCTCCAACTCGAGCACCAATCACATTCATCCGAGTTGCTAGGGTCTGTGCGGAATGTGCTCTCCGAGTATTTTTCTGCTGTTCTGTCGTGTGGAGATGCCGCTACCCCTTGTCATCGCGCTATCATCAGCGTGGTCCTTCACCTCCGCCGGTTCCATCCCTCTGCAGAGGTCAAGGATGCTCTTGCCTACAATAAGTGGTTGGTCGTTGACTACACCGTTCTCAGTCGTTCGGCGATCAAGTGTAGCGCATTCACCACCGCTCTCCTTTTCCTCGAAATGGCCGCTGAGTCCAATTCTTCGGAGAGCATAGCTGAGAGTTCTGTGGTGGAGCAAATCCTCTTTGAGATTTATAGTCATATAGACGAGCCAGACGGATTCTACGGCATACGTACGGGCGATCTGCGCAACTTCTTCGTCAAACGCCTCCACCACGAGAACCAATGGGAGAAGGCCTTTCGTTATCACGGCGCAATGGCCGAGTCTGGGTCCGCAGGTCCCTCAAATACCGATGGCATCGTGCAGTCCATGTATGCTTTCGGTTTCAATCAGCTCGCCTTGAGCACGATGCAAAACTTCTACGCGGACACGAACAATACTACGGAATCGAGTACCCTCGCATACAACCTCGGGTGGCGAGCCGATAGCTGGGATCTTCCGGAGAATCTCGGAGATGGGAACTCGGGGGCGACACTGTACTTGGCTTTGAGGGCAGTATACCGCGAAAGAAGTCCACAGGCCGTCGATGTCATCCTGCGACGGGCGTTCACCCAGGAAATGAACCGACTTCGTGATCTCGGCAACGAGAACTTCACTGAGATTCGCCAAGTTGTCCAGAACCTCATGTGTCTGAGCCAGGTTAAACAATGGAGAGGGGAAGGGATCCAGAAGGCCCTGAAGTCTAGGTGCATCGATGCTGCCGATTGGAAGCCGTTTACGCATATTGATCCCGCATTCGAGTGAGTCCTCCAACCATCGATGCCATGCAGGAAGCTGAAGGGGACCTAGTTTCGCCAACATGGAGGCTATTATGGCGACGCGCATGTCCCTCATCCGCTCCGCACGACAAAAAGAGCAGCGCTTGCAGATCGGCGATCTCAAATCGCCTTTTTGTGATGCACTCCTTGAACTAGAGAAGTCCTGCCTCTTGTGCCTTTCCGAAAGAGCCCGTGACGTGCATCAGTCCCAAATCGCCCTGAACTCCGTCACACGTGCCCAGAATCTAGACCGAGCAGGATCTCCGGATGTCGACCAGGAGTTTGCGAACGTGTTATGGTTGATCAAGGAACCCAAACTCGCAGTGCAGTCACTGGCTAATCTAGTCTCGTCGCGCATCGCAGATCAAGCCGCAAAGGAAGCACAAGCCGAAATCCAGCGCGCCACGTTACTTGCTCGCTTGGTAATTCACACTAGTCAGGATTCACGATCAATGCTAACATGGCGAACAGGGTACCTGGTCATCGGAAGCATCCATGAAGAAACCCTCACAGATCGTCAGCGAATGCTTTGGGCCTGCAGCTGAGCTCGTTATGTCGACGAGCACTGAGGTACTTCCTCCCTCAAGTGATGAGCGAGCCACAGTATTCCAGCAGTATGCAATATTCGCAGAGCGACAATACCATGCCATCTCGAAGTCACCCGACGCTTTGCGTTGGAAGCTTTATGTCGACCGCAAAAGGGAAGAGATCAAGCAACGCGGTCGGCAAATGGCTCATCTATCTCAAACCTCCGCCGAGTATCAGAACTTGAACAGAGAGCAAGGCCGTGCACAAACGCTGTTAAGGGGGGATCTGGAGCGTTCGAGGGAGCACCTGAGCCAGCGGACGTCGTTCCTCACTTCCGCTGTCGAGATGTACTCTCGCTGTCTCGCTGCCTCCGACAAGTTTGACGAGGACTCCCCAATCCGTCTTTGCTCTCTCTGGCTCGCCAACTTCGACAGTGATGACCCGGCGCTCCGATTCGGCGCAGCTCTGGACCTTGTCCCGTCGCGTAAATTCGTCTTCCTTGCACATCAGTTGACGGCGCGTCTGTCGAAGTCGGACAGCGATCAGACCAATCATAATCAAGAGATTCTGCAAGGCCTCATCCAGCGCATGGGTTCCGAGCACCCCTTCCACAGTCTTTTCCCCCTCTACTGCCTCAAGGGGGACCACACACCTTCACGGACTTCCGGCATCACGAGGAGACAATCTGGTCGTTTCGGGACCCCCGCTCCTCCATCGCAGGTCGACCGAGCCGCCGCTGTTTCTGATCTGTTTGACAGACTTCGCTGCGATCCCAGAGCGGGAAAGCGTGTGAGGGCTGTAGAGCGTGTATGTGATGCCTCACTTGAGTGGGCGAAGCATCCGATCAAGCACCTTTTCGGGAAAGGGACACGGATGCCGTCCTCCCTCCCGGTCCCCGAACAAGTGCTCATTCGGAAGCTTAAGGACATTCAGGTCCCTGTCGTCACCGCAGCAACTCCAATTGATCCTACGACCGAGTACCGAGACTGTGTCTGGATATCTCATTTCGACGGGCAGTACTCGACCGCTGGAGGAGTGAACTTGCCGAAGATCCTCAAATGTTATGGAAGCAACGGAAAGGCCTACAAACAGTTGGTATGTCGTGGCGTTCTGCACTTTGATACGATGTTGAACATGACCATCGGTGACAGTACAAGGGCGAAGGTGAGGATGACCTTCGACAGGACGCGGTCATGGAGCAAGTGTTCGACCTGGTCAACGTTGTGCTCCGCCACGATCGTGAAACTCGGCGACGGAAGCTTGGCGTCCGTGGGTACAAGGTCATTCCCCTAGCGGCCCAAGCGGGTGTCTTGGAATTCGTGGACAACACTACTCCCCTGGCGAATTGGCTTAGACCGGCGCATCAGAGGTTTGTACGCTGTCTTGAAGGTGCTCTCGGAGAGCTCATCATCGCTCTGTGTGCAGGTATCGGCCCACAGATTTGACACTCGATGAATTCAGCAAGGAGTTCATGGGGAGCAATGGCAAGTATTCCAAACAGTGGCGCGTAAATCCTCAAGAGGTCATCGATCGGTTCGCTCGCGTACGACAGCGCTTTCAACCCGTCATGCGGCACTACTTCACCGAGAAGCACAAAACGCCGATGTCGTGGTTTGCGATGCGTTTGCACTATGCCCGGAGCGTCGCTACCAATTCGATAGTGGGACACATCCTAGGCCTCGGCGACCGTCACACTTCCAACATCCTCATCGACAACAAGACGGGGGAGGTCGTCCATATCGATCTCGGTATCGCTTTCGAACAGGTGAGACGCTGCGGCCCCCCCGAATGCGACCTCGCTGACCGGATACAGGGCAAACTACTCCCGCAGCCGGAGCGCGTCCCCTTCCGCTTAACGGCGGACATGGTCGATGGGCTGGGTATCTCCGGGACGCAGGGCGTGTTCCAGAGATGCGCCGAGGAGACGCTGCGTGTCTTGCGCGATGGTTCAGAGACCATCCTGACTGTTCTCGAGGTATTCAGATACGACCCTCTGCATTCCTGGTACGTCGTATCTATTCGTTGAAGTTGTTGGCATCCTTCTGAATATCCTCCAGGACCGCGAGCGAATTCAAGATCAAGCGGGCACAAGCCGCACAGCCCGACGAGACAGCCCAGCTTACTGGCGAAGCCTTTAGGTTCGCTGTCGGCCTCGACATGGCGAGCGGCGCTACAGATGAAGCTGCCGATCGCGCGCTGTCGACCGTTGCTCGAAAGCTGGACAAGACACTGAGCGTAGAGTATACTGTCAACGAGCTGATCACCGAGGCAAGCGACCCAGCGAATCTTGCACTAATGTATATCGGTCAGTGCTGCGTGTTCCGGTCTGCATTTGGAGATTGCTCATCCGAATCATAGGATGGGCTCCGCACATGTGAGGAGAACCATGCTACGACCTAATTACGACTATCATCACCATAAATTATGCATGCTCATCACGCATCACGGTCCGACATGCACACACCACACATCGCAATCAACTGTACACGTAGTATATCGAAGCAGTCTGCTGGAATATGATACCATCATGCACTCTTTCAGGCCGATCAGGCGTATTGGACAACACAGGTATCACCATCACGGGTATACACCAGGACGGGGCACATACAGCTGCCAGACCATTGAACGCTACCAGCAAAACCCGATGAGCAGCCCGAGTCGAGTAACCCCCCTGCACTGCCCCGCCCCGACCGCGTCCAAATTGAGAGAGCGAAACGAATGCGGAATCTACTGCACCCTGGGACGCGTATCCGTATCCTAACGTAGCGTAGGGTTAGACGTCTGAGCATTTGCAAACAACACGCGCGACCAGTGTGCATAACGGAGACAGGAATGGAGCCGGGTCGGAGACGGAGACATTGTTGGGAGGCCTAATCGAAACACGGCGACGGCGCGCGTACACAACACTAATAGGGAGGAGTTCAGTCGATCGATGGATATGGGAATGAGTGGATGGTGGATATAGATAGATCGGTGCATGACATGACGTGATGAAAAGGAAGCGAGGAAGCGAGAGGGGGCAATACCGGCGATGCAGCGACGACGATCCCTCACTTATTCTTGGCGATTTCGCGGGCGGCCTTGATGAGCGGCGCCAACGTCCTCAGCGGCTCCGAGAGCTTGAAGAACGGATGCTGGAGTGCCGCAATCGTCAGCCAGGCATCCTCGGGAATGGGGGAGCGTTCCTCACCTGAAGCAATTCTGACGCAGTCGGCCTCTTCTCCGCGTCTACTTCCAGGGTCCTCGCGAGGTAGTCCCGGAACTCTGGCGAAAGCTGCTCGGGGTTCGCGATCTGCGGCGTTCCGTTGGTCGCGATGAGGTAGAGCGCCTTCAGGGGATTCTGGTTCAGGTATGGTGGTTCACCCTCGATCATCTCTGGTGTTCCGTAGGCTATCAACATATGCTCTGGGCGTACGCCAAATGAGTCGACGCACCGATTGCCATGATACCCAGACTCCAGATGTCGACCTTGGGACCATACTCCTTGCGGGTGACAACTTCCGGGGCCATCCAGTACGGCGTACCGACCATTGTAGTACGCTTCGCGTTCGCCTCGGAGATTTGCGCGCAGAAGCCAAAGTCAGCTAACCAGCAAAGTCAGCATGCAACCGGCGAGCACATGCGCACAGCAAGAACGCACTGAGCTTGATGTCTCCGTTCATGCTGAGCAGGACGTTGTCAGACTTGATATCGCGGTGGATGACACCGTGGCGATGGAGGTGCTCGAGCCCCTGGCAGGTCTCGCGGGAGACTGCGGCGATCTGGCCGTCTGTCATCAGGTTGGCGGTGACGACGTCCGTGAGCGAGCCACCCTCCATGTACTCCATGACGACCCAGAGCTCGTTCTTGTGGAGGAACGAGTCGATGTAGTTGACGATGTTCGGGTGCCGGGATGCGCGCATGACGAGGATCTCGTTGATGATCAGGTCCTTCTTCGGCTGCTTGTCGAGGTCCATCTGCTTGATGGCCACGGACAGGTTCGTCCCGACCTGGTACGCAGTGTACACCCCACCTGAAGCACTGGACGGACGCAAAAAGCATAAGCACAACGACACCGACAGAGCAATCCGACCGGAAGCGCAGCAATAATCACTTACCCCGCACCGATCTTGACGAGGTTCCGGTAGAGCTTCGTCGGATCCGCGTCCGTACAGATCTGCTGCAGCCGCTTGACGATGTCCGCCTCCTTCGCCGGGTCCTTGTCCTTCTTCTCCCGTCGTCGCGGCGTCGCGCCGCCCGCCGCAGCGGCCTTCTGCAGGCTCGCCGCGGCCGCGCTCGGCGCAGGCTGCGACGCCGGCCCGCGGCCCTCGCGCTCGCGATCCCGCACGCTTGGGGAGGCCTTGAGCGGCAGGTCCGTCTGTGAGGAGCCGGGCGACGCCTTGGGCGGCTTCACCACGACCGTGGCAGCGGGGTAGCCTGGGGTGCGCGGGGCCTGCTGGCCGGGGCCGGGAGAACGCCGGTCGCTCGTGGTGTTGGCGCGGGCGAGCTGCTCGGCGGGCTTGGGGGGCTTGGTCTGCGGGAGGCGTTGGGAGGTCGAGCGGTCGAGGGAGGGCGTGGCGGGGCTGGGCGGGGCTGGCGCCACGCGATGGGACGACGGGGGGGTGCTGGATTGTTTCTTCGGAGGGGGAGGGGCAGCACGCTGCGGGGCTCTGAGAATGATTTAATGTGGTCAAGAAATGGTGGACGTACAGGATTGACGAATCCGTCATCGAAGGGCTTCGGCTGCGCGGGTGCGACGGGCGTCGGGGGCGGCGGGGCGGCGATAGCACCCATCTTGTCCCAGACGGAGGTGTCGCCGCGGGCGATGTTGTTCTCCTGGTAGAACTTGACGATCTCCATGACCGCCTGCGGGTTCTTCTCCTGCTCCGACTTCGAGATCCCGCTCTCCTGCAGCAGCTGCTGCCACTCCTTCGGCAGCCCCGTGAACTCGCCCGTGGAGGTGTTGAAGCCGACGTGGGTGAGGTGGACGGGGTCGTACGGCGTGCTGATCTCCGGCCGCTTCGAGCTGTTCAGGAAGTCGGACATGAAGGTGAACATACCCTTCTTCGACTTGGTCGTCGTGCTGCTCCGCGATCGGCTCCCCGCCGCGCTGATCGTCGACGCCGTGCTGGGCGCATACGGGGTGGGCGGCAGGGGAGGGATGTCGTAGTTGGCCGTGTATTGGCCGAGCTGGCTCGGCGACGACTGCTGCCCAGGGTACTGCTGCCCGGGGTACTGCTGCCCGGGATACTGCTGTTGCTCGGCGAGGTCAGGGTAGTACGGGACGTCCTGCGGGCTCAGGACGGGATCGGAGAGGCGATGCCGGGCGAGATTGCCCTGGGTGGGGTAGATGTCGTTGAGGGTGGCCGTATTGGCCCTGGATGGGCGGGGAGGGGGCGAGGTGGTCGTCATTGACTGGTCGTTGCGGAAGGGGTCGCGATCGACGTTGTTGGCCGGCTTGCGCTGCGGGGGAGGCTTCTGAAGAGAGTTGCGGACCCGGGGGGGCGTGCCACTGCCGGCGTTCTTGGGCGGACCCGGGGGCGGCGGTGCGGTGCGGGAGGGGGTGAAGTTGTCAGAGTACTCGTTGGCGGCGGCGGCGTGGAGGTTGGCCTCTGCGAGGAGGTTGTGGTACTCCTGGATGGACTCTCTCGACGGGCGGTGGTACTCGACGGTGATTTTGGAGTGGCGGCGGCTGTTGGAGGGAGAGTGGGAATGGAAAGACTTCTGGTTGACCGCGCTCTGCGAGGATGAAGACATGGAGACAACGTAACCGGAATGATGGAACAAGCAAGATGAAGGAACGGAGGGGGTGCGAGCTCGAGCTCGTCGTGGCCGACTACAGAGCGAAGGTCCCCAGTATTTCCCTCGGGCGCACAACAGAAAACAACAGCAACGGTCGCGATCGCCACCAATCTGGCCCTTTTCCCTGGCCCAGCTCTGCTCTTAAAGCCCGAGAGACCGCGCAGATGGCCAAATGTGTCCCTTGCGGTCTCTTTGGGCACTTTGACGGAATCAGTCTCTTGCGCAGTTCTGCCTGTCGTCCTGTCCGCTGTCCAGGTCGCTCGGCGCCTCCATCTCTGTTATCGATCCCGTTCACCCTCTGCCGGCCCCAATAAGAAGTCGCCTCCATATTTGCGAAGCGACCCCAAGCCATACACAACAAGCATGCCTGCATGCTTTATTACTGATGATAAGTACCGTGGGTGACTTGCGCATTGAAGAAGACTCCAGGCACTGCGACCAACAGAATGCTGTGCAAGCCACATTTTTCCGAGGTGACAGGGGGTGGGATGCATGTGCGGCAACATAGACGCCCATATGTAGCGATACCTTAGACGCCAGCTCAGCGCGGTGCGTACGAGCAGGAGTACTTGGGCACCATATCGTTGCGAATAGGGCACTGGTACCTGGGAGTTTGCTTTGTATGCTTTTTTGTAAGCGTTGCGTGCCATGCGCTCAGCTGCATCATTTTATACAAGAAATGGAGACATGAAAGACGCCACGGTCACGTGCCAGACGCGTCAAGCGGCGAGAAGCCAGTTCCCACCACCGACCTCGGTCTTGCTTTCCTCCCTCCTCCGTCCTGTGGCCCCAGTAGACCCCAAACGCTTCCTACGACCTCAGCCACGCTCTTTGAAAATGTCGAATACATCGAAGCAGCCCATGTCTGGTCTTCGCTCTATCAAACGAGACTTCTCATCCAGCTCATTACCTCCGGCGAGCCAAGAGTCGCTCTCCTCCGACCCCGACACGATTCCATGGCAGCCCACCCCGCCAAAGAAGCTTTCTGGACTTGAGCAACGCCTCAAAGACATCCAAGACGCGTTAAACGCGCAGGTCTCCTCGTCCTCGTCCGTCCTCGCGTCGTCCTCGCAGTCACAGAAACGCCCGTCGACCTCCCAGAACCCGCCTGCGAAGCGCCGACAACTGCCTTTCTCATGGGACGACAAACCCCCCTCTCAGGCCTCACGACCTGCTTATCCCAGCGCCCCGTCGCAGCGAGCGTTTGGCAAGCCACGACAAACGAACACTAACGAGACGACGCTTGTTGTGGCAGCCAAAAGTGGCTCGTCGGCGAAGCCTGCTCCGATTTTCCTTAGTCAAGAACAGACGCATATACTCAAGCTGGTCGAGTCGGGGCTAAGCTTGTTCTACACCGGTAGTGCTGGTGAGTTATCGTTCAGAGAGAAGAGCCAAGGGTGGACTACGCGCATCGTGTCAAGTGTATGTGCAATAATGCCTGAGGCATACATGGCGCATATATCAGCCCATCACCTCGGCACAGTGCTCGCATAGCCATACATAACAGGACGCATATACCTACGTTCACTCTAACCTCGACAGGTGCCGGCAAGTCTGTTCTCCTACGGGAGATCATCCGAACCTTGCGGAAGAAGTACAGGACAGCGGCCGACGCTGTGGCTGTCACTGCTTCCACTGGTAAACTCCTTCAATCATCTCTCCAAGTATATGCTTCACGTCTTTGGTGTAGGTATCGCTGCATGTAACGTCGGGGGAGTCACCATCCATTCCTTCGCCGGTATTGGCATTGGCGCAGAACCCGTAGACAACCTCATTACCCGAGTCCAGAAGAACAAGAAAGCCACCGCGCGCTGGCTGCGTACCAAGGTCCTCATCATCGACGAAGGTTGGATTCTCTTCGGTTGTTGCTATTGCTCGTCTCACCCGTTCTCCTGCAGTCTCGATGCTTGACGGCGATCTGTTCGACAAGCTGGCCCAGATCGGCTCCAGGATCCGCAAGAATTCCTTGCCGTTTGGAGGAATTCAGGTGCATACATCCACCTTTGTCCTCCCTACATAGCCCCTTGACGCCCCACGACGGCAACCCAGGTCGTCGTCACCGGAGACTTCTTCCAGCTTCCGCCTGTCACTAAGGGCTCCCAAGCTGTGAAGTTCGCGTTTGAGGCAACCATGTGGTCGGAGACGATCAAAAAGACCTTCAACCTCACGAAAGTCTTCCGTCAGCGCGACCCTGAGTTCGTCGACATGCTCAACGAGATGCGCTTCGGACAGCTGTCGGAGCGGTCGATAGCGAAGTTCCGCAGCCTCGAGAGAGAAATCGTGTACGAGGACGGACTCGGCGCGACAGAACTGTAAGCCCTCCCCTGCTTCCTCCACCGTCCACACATATGACCGACCCGCACGTCCCTCCGCAGCTTCCCGCGGCGCGAAGACGTCGAGCGCTCGAACGGCGTGCGCATGGGCGGCATCACCGGCAAGGAGCAGGTCTACAACGCGCACGACGGGGGCAGCATCTCGGACCCGGCGCAGCGCGACAAAATGCTCGCCAACTTCATGGCGCCCAAGCGGCTCGTCCTCAAGGAGGGCGCGCAGGTGATGCTCATCAAGAACGTCGACGAGACGCTCGTAAACGGCACGATGGGCAAGGTCCTGCGCTTCGTCGACCCCAGCGCGGCTCCGGGCGAGCACGACGCCGAGACAACAGGCGCGGGGAAGCCCGCGAGCAAGGGCGGGAAGGAGGCGAAGCCCAGCCTGGGCGCGCGCATGCTCCTCCCGCTCGTCGAGTTCCTCCAGCCGGGCGGCGCGAGGCGGACGATGGTCGTCGCCGCGGACAACTGGAAGGTCGAGCTCCCGAGCGGGGAGGTGCAGGTCAGCCGGGTGCAGGTGAGTGAGGGGCGCCGGGCTCGGAGCGCGGTGCGCGTGCTCACGTTCGCGTTCGCGTTCATTTTAGCTGCCCCTCATCCTGGCGTGGGCGATGTCGATCCACAAGTCCCAGGGCCAGACGCTCGAGCGCGTCAAGGTCGACCTGGCGCGCGTGTTCGAGAAGGGCCAGGCCTACGTCGCTCTGTCCCGTGCGACCTGCCTGGACGGGCTCCAGGTGCTGAACTTCGATCCTGCGAAGGTATGCTGACTTTGTGCGATTTGAACGAATTGTTTGCTCAAAATATGCGTTAGGTGAAGGCCCACCCGAAGGTGGTAGAGTGGAGCAAGACTCTCGAGACTGTCGCATAGAAGTATTTGGAGACGCAGGGTGTCTCTTGGTCTGCACGGTGCTAGCGCTGGATCCAGGTCTCGTGCGCACGGCCATTAGTACTACGATACGCGACACGGTAGGGGTAATTGTAAGATTATACCAATCCATATGCGTTGCTAAACAAACACTGTGACACTGACAGACAAGTAAGTAGCGTAGCACCCCAACTCCGACTTCATGCTCTCTGATAGCCGGCGAGGACACCCGTGATATACTGTGGCTCCTCACTTCGAGTCTGTTAGCTTCACCCGCGTCAAGCAGAACAGGAACGACGACATTGTATCGCCTTGTTGATAACCATTTTGTCTAGAGCCCAATGCTCAGAACGCTCGCGAATCTTGCCTTGCTTCCCGCGTTCATGATTACGTCCGCCTATCATTCAGTTTGCCGTACTGCTCACGCTCCCGCAGAAGTGATGACGACGGTCGTCGATGCATCTAGGGACGGCAACCAGGTCATATTCGGCCTTCGCTTGACATACCGGGTATTCTTGTCCCTCGGTCGTCGCCAGTTGTTCTCTGATCTTTCCTCGAACATCATCAATGAGTTCAACGCCCTCTGCGACTGCTTCGGCTCCGATCCGCGCTACAAACCGCTGCTTCATCGTAGCACCCTCGAAAACAATGCCAGGAATCAATCGGCACCTCTTTCATGTGCGGTAACTCCTCATACGTTCGAGGTTCAGTAGTATACATCATGTGATGACCGGAGCTTCTGTAGCCGACTGCACAGCTGGAAGCGACTGGTCCGCTGAAGGCTTCACGCGGTCTCTTGAGGATGAACGATGAGTTTAGCGGCGCTGACCTGGTTCTTCTTCAACTTCTCCAGGCCAGAGGCGATCCCCGCCAAACCGCCAGGAACAACCTCGGCGTTGAGCGGCTGAAACGGTCAAAAAGTAAGCGACTTGCAACTTCAACCATCCGGGTCCGTGACCGGGTGCTCACTTTGAACTCGCCCGACTGGAGCAGGGCAGGGATCGCCTTGAACAGCTCTTCCGCAAACTGAGGGTCCTGCTGAAGGCGGACGCCAGTCGCCAACCCCGTGATTGTCCTCCCCTCCGTTGTTTCTGACACGCTTGGGGGAAGGATCACGACCAGCTTGCCTCCGGGAGCGAGAAGCCCGTAGGCGGCGGCTTGCGTCTCCGGGAGCGAGACGGTGTCAAGGACGAAGGAGGGAGCGCCCCCGGTGAGCTTGGTGACCTCCGCACGCAAAGCGTCGGCGGAGAGGTTGCGGTCGAGGACGTGTGCCGCGCCGTATGACTGGAGTAGGGCGGCGTTCTTGAGCGAGGCGGTCGTTATGATGGGCGAGAAGCCCGAGAGCTTGCCGAGCTGAATGGCTGTTGCATTGCGGATGTTAACGTCAGGTTGAGGAAGGGATTGGACGAGGCGGACGTACCTGCGGACCCGACCACGGTTGCGCCCCCTGTGATTACCAGAGGCTGGCCAGCGTACTTGCCCCTGCCACCCTCGGCCCACGGTGGGGTATACTGAGGACCGCCAGGCTGGTTGTACAGGGCAACAGCAGCAGTTGCGAGCGCAGTCGGGACAGTGGCCGCTGCATCGAAGGAAATACCATCGGGAAGCTTGGAAGCCCGCTGCATGAGTGAACGGTTCCACCATCTACATGTATTGGGAGGCTTTCACCTTAGCGGTGAGGATCGCGCTAACCAATGTGTACTGCTGGTAGGGCGCCTCGTCATTCCCGAAGGACGCTTTGTACAGCACTCGATCGCCTTTCTCGAAGTCGGTGACGCCCTCACCCACTGCGTGAACCGTTCCGGCGGCTTCCAACCCGATGACGGCGGGGTACTCTTGTAAGAAAAGGCCCAGCTGCTGGATCTTCCAATCCACCGGGTTGAGACCAACCGACTCATTCTTGATGAGGAGTGAGCCGCGAGTCGGCGTCGGGACTTCACGGTTAATGAGGGCGAACTGACCGCCCTTCTCTTGAAGGACAAGAGCCTTCTGCTGAGCGGGAGTCGACATTACTATAGAGGTGTGGGATCGATATGTGAGCTGGAGACGGCGTGGGTTGCGAAAGCGAGATGACGTGTGAACATGGTAACTTATATGCGTTCACCCATGTTACTGCGCGCGAATAACACGAACACCTCGCTTGGCACATTCCACATGCTGAGTTCGATGTCTAAGATTGACCGCCCGCACAACCTGCTACTATCTCACAGCGTTACGAAGCACGTGGGTAAGGCGTCAAACTAGTTAACGCGATGAGTTAAGTTGACAAGTCCATAGAAATGTTGTACCGACGAGTCGACAGCAGATGGGAGGGAGGTATAAGGACGAATATAGAGGGGGATAGTATAGACAATAAGTGAGTGAATAAAAATGGGTATTCATGCAAAACTCACATGTATGTATGCTGCTAGTATACATCTGATTGGTTCCAATGCTTACCTTGTACAGGGGAACCGAAAGTGAGTGCAGCCGGCCTTGATATCTCGGCAACAGCTTAACTGAATGACTGATATGTTTGCAGGACCTGTTCTCTTCGCCTGTCAAGGGTTTCGATCAGACTTCCTGGATGCCTGGGGCAATGGACCTATTGTGCATTCTGTTAGGAAGCTTGCGCACATCACCCAGTTGGGCAAACACACCTCTGGTGTTGCCAGCGGCACATTCTCCTTGTTTTTCGCTACTCGGCTCCATCTGGCCCGCAGTCATTGTTCCCTTGGTTTCTTCTGTGCATGCGCCCCTAGATTTGTGATCGAGTTACTCTGGTGTAGCTTTCGTTTGGGCATGTTGCAAGGCAAGGCCGTATGTTCCCTGCCAGCAGGAATGATATTTCGCCTTTCTTGGACAGTACCCAATTCAGACACGTCTTAAGCGCCTGAGAGATCGCGAACAATGCATGTCTATCTACTTTGTTCAGGAAGGCAAATCGGAAAATCGGGAACCTGAGAACTCTAGAGACACTATATAGGTACAGTTCTCTGGTTTTTGCATATGTAAGGAAGGCTCTCTCTCTTGAGCCTATAGTTTTGCAAACATTTCTCCTTGCCAAAGCAGGTCAAGAGTTCTGAGCACATGATGTAGTAGGTTGTGCGGGCGGCCAATCTTACAGTGCTTTGCAAAAAAAGATTGCAGACCGAAGCGCGCAAATTCCGGTTTGGTCCTATTTGGCCACCCGGGGAAACACCTGCGATACCGGAAGCCTCTTTGCAGCATGGTCAATGATTCAGCTGAAAACCTACCGGAAGTACTGAGAAAGTTGTATTGTGGAGACAAAGAACGTGTTTGTGCATTTTTGCAGCAGAAAATGGGGCTCAGACTCAAGCACGGTCTTGTCGAACGGAGCCCTTGTGAGCGCCCCGGTGTCCGAAACAGGAATTCTCGTCGTAGCCGACAGGAAACAAAGCAGGGACAAACAAAAATCGCGCGCTTCGGTCTGCAATCTTTTTTGCAAAGCACTGTACTTAAACCTTGCAGGTGATTTGACGCAACACATCATAGCCGCTCAGTCCAGAAGGATGACTCACAGCCACAGAACAATGATGACACACTATGGCGCCCGGGACTGTGCATAACCCACAGGGGAAAACCGAGGAAATAGTGCGGTCCGGCCAAGGAAATGGAGCAGAAAACCCTGGTCGAACACCGGTTTATGGACGAGCAAAAAGCGCGTCAAGATGACGGCTTTCCACGGTCAATCTGGCGTGGTCTCAGACAGGAGAAAAACCTCGGTTAGACAGCGGGTCGGAAGGGCGGGATTTACACCTGTAAAACATGGGAATTTGCACGGTTTCCGGGTGCCGGATCTTTGCTTGCGCCAGCTGGAAATCAATAGGGAATCACTTATGATGCAGTACAAGAGTGTAGCTAAACACGCTGCAGATTGCAGTGTTACGGTCGCATTACGGCATGCTGAGTACATAGTACAGGTAGGGATATCAATATAAACTATGCAAGCTCGAGACCCTCTGGTACTCTCAACGACCACGTCCTTTTGACCCTTGCCACTCCTGCAGTACATCCACGCCAAAACTAAGGACACATATGGGAGTTTGGGTAGACGGAGTCAGATATTCAGGGAAGAGCAGCAAATACTCACCGGGGAGAATGCAGATATTTGAGAAGAGTGACTTACCTGATCGACATCTTTGCCAGAATGGCCAAACAACATAGCTGGACTTACCTGAGAAACTCACAACTCTGAAGATTGCGACTTACCTTATGCCGACCGTCCATCACTGGGCTCTGCCCGACGACTCTGGTACTGTATGCACACCCTAGGAACGGTGATAAAGGGGACCAAGAAATGTAGACACGACAGCAGTCATGTACCCAACGCACCCTAAGATAGTTCCATGAAAGTCAGATGTCACAAGCAACAGGAGAATGTCGATGTAGACGAGAGAATGGTCAGAATCAGAGCGACTGGCATTTGGCGCCCATATTTAGGGCCGGCACATGC